TATATATAGTATATATATATATATATATATATATATATATATATATATATATAGTATATATATATATATATATATATATATATATATATATATATATATATATATATATATATATATATATATATATATATACATATATATATAAAGAGCGAAGTAATCCCTAGAGGACTTTAAATGTAAGTGTACTGCTGAGCGAAGTATAACGGCCGGTTGCACACACTTGAGAGTGCCTCCAGTATAGTTTGATACGGCCGCAGTGAGAGGGTGACTGTGTCCGCCTGTTAGTGTGTTTGGGCCAGTGCAGGGTGTAGCAGCCCAGACAGTGAGACCATCGACAAGCGTAGTATGAAGCCATTACGACTTGTAATAGGTAGCACAGTAACAATAAGGCCATGTATACATAGCCTGCTAAACTATATATAGAAGGCTATGAGAAGGCTATGATTAGAAAGCTATGATGTATAGGTAATGCTATGCATCGGCATCACCAAAATCACAAAACAAGACACAATACATTACAATCCTAGATATGTGATTGTGGGGGGACACCACCTGGTTATCTCCAACATATGTTTTGTATACTTGTCTGATAATATAGACTTCGATAGCAATATCACCAAGGAGATGAGGCATCGAAAGCATCCAACATCAACATTCCAATTATCTGTACGGAAAGAGTGCCTTCTGTTCACTCAGCACCTCTATCGAGCCATAGAAAGTGCAACTATGCCAACTGAAACCTCAGGGCTTTGTCCAAAGTATTGGTGACTACCATAGCATACAAATATAGCCCGACCACTGCTATACTTGCAGTGTTGGGTTTAGGGTTTAAGGTTTAGCGTTCAGGGCTTAAGGTTTAGAATCTAGGGTTTGGGGGATGTCTTGTTCACGTATCCTCCTACCAACCCCTACCCATCAACTGTAGCCTTGCCGATCGAGGCATCTGTGATGTCGCCATCGACAAGCGGTAGCGAAAATGACGGCGATGATTTGGATCTGTCCGATGACGATTTGGGAGACGTTGGGCTGTGGCTGGGGAGGAGTAGTCTGGCGAACACCATGCTCTCGGGTACGTGGCTTAGGATATGTACGATATGTGTATGTGTGGGTAGGTACTTGTTGATAGTTTGCCGATGGTGTATGAGTGTATGGGTGTGTCTCCGGTGGTTTGTTTGTATGACCATAGTCACTTCCCGTTCGTTATGGTTTATCATCTATCGCAGAGTTTCTTGGCCTCACTCAATCAGGATCAAGTACACACACTCTCTTCAATCATACCGAACCCTGTTTCCAAGTTTTAGTGCTTCAGGGCTAAAACAAAGAGTGGGGTTCTAAACAGTTCGGTATCTGGCATTTACATGTGCTACACTCCTTCTGACTAAGACGTTCGTATAGTACATGGTCTGTAGAACCGCACGAGCGCAGTGAGGCATCCCGATGTCCCTACATCCCTGTATCTGCATACTTACACTTGCATACCTACCTACATCCTTCTATCTGCATACTTACACTCACATACCTACCTACATCCTTCTATCTGCATACTTACTCATATACCTACCTACATCCCTGTATCTGCATACTTACACTCACATACCTACCTACATCCTCGTATCTGCATATTTACACTCGCATACCTACTTACATGCCTCTATTTACATACTTACACTCATATACCTACCTACATCCTTGTATCTGCATATTTACACTCGCATACCTACCTACATCCTTCTATCTGCTTACTTACACTCACATACCTGCCTACATCCTTCTATCTGCATACTTACACTCACATACATACCTACCTCCTTCTCATATACCTACCTACATCCTAATATCTGCGTACTTACACTCACATACCTACCTACATCCTTCTATCTTCATACTTACACTCACATACCTACCTACATCCTTCTATCTCCATACTTACACTCACATATATACCTACATCCTTCTGTCTGCATACTTACATTCATATACCTACCTACATCCTTCTATCTGCGTACTTACACTCACATACCTACCTATATCCCTTCTATCTGCGTACTTGCACTCACATACCGACC